TAAATCAACTATACTCCAGTAAAAATTAATTTAAAAAAAAGTTGACAAGATTTACTTTACCAAACAGTAAAAGATTTTATAAAGCTAGAGTAATTAAGACAGGTCTAGCTAGAGTAATTACTCTAACTAGAGTAATTAAGACATGTACTGCCTCAAGGATAGAGAAATAGGGAGTCCGGATTAGATTCACATATATGATTTACAACACAAGTTACACTGGAGAGCAGCAGAGAAAGGGTGGTCTTTACAATAAACGGTGCTGAAAACTGAAAAAAAGAAATCTTGATATTCCATGCAAAAATAAACACCACATAAACTGTGTATCTAGAAATTTAAAAATACTTTTAAAAAGCCTTCTAGAAGATATTATATTCATGATGCTGCTGTAAGGAAGATTTGTTAAACCGGGCAAAGAAAGCACTAAACATAAAGGAAATGGCTAAATATTGGTCTATATTAAGTTCAAAAGACACTTTTAAGAGACTGAAAAGGCAAGTCACAGAGTACGAGAAAAATATTTGTAACATTTAAAACCAACAAAGAACTACCAAACAAACAAAAACTTGACAACACAAAAAGAGGTTTGAATAGGCAATTCACAAAACTGATCATCCAAATGATTATTAACATGAAAGTGTCCAACTTCATAAATAACCAAGGAAAGGCAAATTAAAACAATAATGAGATATTAATAATACCTACCCACCAGCATGGCTAAAATTAAACTTATAAGGCCAAGTGTGGGCAAGGATGAGGAGAAAATGTAACCCTCACAGTGCTAATATAAGTGTAAATTGGTACAATCACTTTGGAAAACTTTTTGGAATTATCTACTGAAGATAAATGTAAGCTTAAACTATGACCCAATAATTCTATGACCAAACAGTTCCATTCCTAGGTATGGGCCCAACAGCAATATGTACCCATTGCACTAACAGACATTTACAATATGTTCATAGTTGCATTAACATAGAAACAACCTAAACAGGCTCCCAAAGTTAAATGGATAAATAAATGGTGGTATATTCTTACAAAGGAATATGTCAAAAACAATAAAACTACTGTTATACGCACATAAATTTCAAAAACTGTGTTAAGTAAAAGAAGGTATAAACAAAAGAACTTTATAATTCCATTTGTATAGAGCTGGCAAAAACCAAATGATTACATTAGAAGGCAGGACAGTGGTTACCCCTGGAGAAGAGAAGACAGCTATGTTGGGAAGTGGCACAAGGTGGGGTCTTCCCGGGCACTGGCAGTTTTCAAGTTCTTGGTCTGGATGCAAATTATAGAAGTGCTGGCTTTGTTATAATTCCTTGAGCTGTACATTTACTTTTTTCACTTTTCTGAATGTATATTATACTTAAAAAGTTGCATATGGAAAAGAAAACATTATCAAATCAAAGATGTATTTTACAACTGACAATATTTTATAACAGGAGTACTATGTAGACATTTTTAAAATTATGTGTAAATATAGAGAAGTTACCAGTTGTTTTGTTTTAGTCCACTTTTAATCTTTGGTTAAGAAATCCTTTTTTACTCTTGTATCATAAAGATGATTGTCCATATTTTCATCTAAATTTTAGATTAATAGCTAGTTCTTTCTCAGTACAGAAATACACGAAGTATCACTTCATTATCTTGTGGTATCTATTTTCATCAAGGAGAAGTGTACTTTTAGGGCATTATATTATGTAATCATTGGAAGAAAAAGGATTTGTGCATATAGTCCCTGAGGTAGATCGAACAAAACATTATTATCATTTTTTTTTTTTGGCTGTGCCGCATGGCGTGTGGGATCTTAGTTCCCTGACCAGGGATTGAACCCAGGGCCACAGCAGTGAAAGTGCTCAGTCCTAACCACTGGACCACCACGGAATTCCCTGAACAAATTATTATTATGTCCATTACATACAGACAAAAAAGCCCCGCGAGCCACAGCTACTGAGCCCAGGCGCTACAACTACTGAAGCCCGCATGCCTAGAGCCTGTGCTCCGCAACAAGAGAAGCCACCGCAATGAGAAGCCCGCGCGCCGCAATGAAGGGCAGCCCCCGCTCGCCGCAACCAGAGAAAGCCCATGCGCAGCAACGAAGACCCAACACAGCCAAAAATAAATAAATAAATAAATTTATAAAATAAATAAATAAAAACCCTCAAAACTCATAGATGCTTTTAAAATAGCACTTCAAAACATTCACCCCCGCATAAAAAACAAAAAACCCAAACAAAGCAAACACAACCATATAACAATGCAACATGTTTCTCACCAAACAGTGAGACACAGACATCACTGTTTCCGTTGTCAAAGATACCAAATACACCACTCCATTACATTAAAATAAATGCTTATCAGTGGATAGGATTTACCGAAGAGAAATAGCACATAAGGCAATGACTACTTATGACTTTAAAGAATACAGCAGTCCCCCCTTATCCACAGGTGATACGTTCCAAGACCCCCCCTAGTAGAAACTTGACATATACTGCCTGAAACTATAGTACCGAACTTGACATATACTGTTTTTTCCTGCACATACATACCTACAATAAAGTTTAATGTATAAATTAGGCACAGTAAGAGATAAACAATAACTAATAATAAAACAGAACAATTTTAACCATACTACAACAAAAGTTTTCTGAATGTGGTGTCTCTCTCCCTCACTCTCTCTCAAAATATCTTAACACAGTTAGCATCTTTTCCATTTTAACTAAGTACTTATCTGCACCGTGGCCATAACTTTTGCAGTTTGAGGTTTGTTTTGCAGTTTGACAGCAAAACAAGCACAAATTTCTTTTTCCTTCACAATTTCATGGATAGAAGATTCGTTCTGACCACAGATCTTAGCAACCTCAGCATACAACTTTTTTTCTTTCCTTATTAAGTTGAGAACTTTCACCTTTTCACTTAAAGGAAGCAGTTTGCAGTTTCTCTTCAGCATATCTAAATTGCAGCACTTTGGGACTGTTATTAAGTAAAAAGGGTTACTTGAACATAAGCACTGATAACTGAGATGCCACTAAGTGACTAATGGGTGGGATAAGCTGGACAAAGGGATGATTCACATCCCAGGCACTACACAGAATGGTGTGAGATTTAAAACATATAAATTGCTTATTTCTGGAATCTTCCATTTAATATTTCAGACCATGGTTGACTGGTTGAAGGTAACTGAAACCACAGAGAGTGAAACTGCAATTAAGGCGAGACTACTATGGTTTCGATGAAGTAAGCCATGTAGATATAGATGATGGTAGTTTTATCTGTTAAACTGTACATTAAAAAAAAAACCTTAAATGTTTTAGTCAGGAATGTCTTTTCTGTCAGTACTTTAAAGAGGATTTCAATGATAAGTTTTTGTTTGGGGCTTTCCTAAAATGGATGTGGTTGGCGATTGCTTTCAAGTAGTTTACACGAGGACTGTTGGTATGTGTCATGGCAACAGGTCTTTTGGAGGAACATTGAAATTGTGGTTATTGTCTGAAAACTACTACAATAAACTTCTGGCAGCGTGTATGAAGGGGGACGAAGAGGCTAGGGCCACCAAGTAGTACATTAGCCACTTCCTTTTTGGGTTATATAAAGAGAGTGAATCAATGATCTTATTAACACTCTCACAAAATATGACGACAAAATACTGATTAACCAAAATATGGAAAAGGTTTTCAAGTGAGTAAACTTTTTTTGATTAAGCAAGAAAAGCACACTTATAACACTTATGACATACCAGGAATTATGCTAAGCACTATAAGAACATAAAGTTTCATCAGGCTCTGACCTTAAACTACTTATTGTCTACGGGGAAGATAGGATAGGCTTAAAAAACAATTAGGGCTTCCCTAATTGGCGCGGTGGTTGAGAGTCTGCCTGCCGATGCAGGGGACGGGGGTTCGTGCCCCAGTCTGGGGGGATCCCACGTGCCACAGATCGGCTGGGCCCGTGAGCTGTGACCGCTGGGCCTGCACGTCCAGAGCCTGTGCTCCGCGGCGGGGGAGGCTGCAGCGGTGGGAGGCCCGTGTACCGCAAAAAAAGAAAAAAAAAACCCAACAATTAAGTAGAAAGCAACAAATCATAAAAGTGGTAAAAAAAAAAAAAAAAAGAGTGCATTGAGAGCTCAAAGGAAGGAAATTACGTCATGGAGGGGCAGCTTGAGATAGCTGGCATGAGATGTATGGGATGAATAGAGAAGCATAGGATTAGGCATTCAAAGGAAACAGAACAGTATCAACAATGATTAGCAAGTAATCCTTCATGTGAAGTATGTTAACTGTACATGAACACAGCCAACACAAATTAAGAACCTGCCTAACTACCCCCCCAACAAAAAACAAAACCAGAAACAAAGTGAAAAACTATTTCATCAAGGTAATATTTGAGGTTTAAAAAACAATGTCATTATAATTTTAAGAAAATTTCAAAATATATATTTTAGGGCTTCCCTGGCGGCGCAGTGGCTGGGAGTCCGCCTGCCGATGCAGGGGACGCGGGTTCATGACCCAGTCCGGGAAGATCCCGCATGCCGCGGAGGCACTGGGCCTGTGCGTCCGGAGCCTGTGCTCCGCAGCGGGAGAGGCCACAACAGCGAGAGGCCCGCGTACCGCAAAAAAAAAAAAAAAAAAAAGAAATATATATATATATATATTTATTTATTTATTTATTTTAAAGCCAATTAAATAGTACTTTTAAAAAACGCTTGTTACAAAACATGTCTACATTTTTAGTTACACTCCTAAATAAAATAAGTATTTTAAAAATACAATGATTACATTGGCATTCATGTACAATAAGGGAGTAAGAGAGAAAACATTTGATAATCACTACTCCCACCCTGCCATTTAACTCTTGAGTAGGAATGGTGTTTTAATAGAAAGAAATATTAATATATCAGAAAACTGAAAATTAAAAGTACAGAATGGAAGTATCTACGAATGAATTGAACTGTATATATTTACAAGGGAATTAAAAAGGAGAGCAAAGCCTCTTGCATAACTTACCAACATAAAATGAGCAGTTGGAATGCAATAGACTTTCAGTCCATAAGCGACAAAGTTCACTTTCAGTCAGAGCTTCAACTCCGTAACAAGCTTGATACTCCACTTTTGGTAGTACGTAAACTGGAAATTGCTGCAATCCAAGGTTATACTCTTATAAAGCTCCATTAATTTACTATTAACAGTAAATACATTTGCCTATATAATTTTGCCACTTTCAAAACACTTTCAGGTAATCTTATTTCATCCTTTCAAATACAGTAGGATTCAGACAGAAAGATGGATAGAACCCTTAGTAGATGTGGGCAAATGGTGGATAAATAAGAGATCGTGAACCAGAGGCTGCCCCCCCCCCCCGCCACAACCAAAATCAACATACCTCTCCACACATGCACATATTTTATTTCTGTCACAGAACATGACTGACAGAATCCTTGGAACAAAGCCTCGGATACATAATGGCCCAAGGTTCAAAGCTAGAAGCTGGAAAGCCATGACTGTAATACATACTAATAATTCTCAAGAGGGTAAAAAAAAGTAGGAATTTTTTTGCCCCTTTAAAGCATTAGTCACATTGTCTCAGGCTTAAATACTGTGTTTTCATTCTATGAATGTATGAGCACTAACACCTACATTAATATCTGTGAATGTTGCTATCTTCATTAATACAAAAGGGTTTATTCCAGACGCTAAGTACCTGGCAAATTAGCCATTTAGCGTTTATTGGTCAGGACACTAAATAGATTAAGCAAAATGACTATACCCTCTACTAGCCTTAAGGAGGATATGTAAGGAAATACATGCTTGTAAAATAACATAGTGCTAGTCATGTTCACTGTGCTTATATTATCTCATTTCAGTCAAAGAAAATTCTAATCTTAATAGCAGTCTCTTCACTTCCAGCTGCAGAAGGAGAAACACATGATTTAAGGAACTTAAAGTAATATAAATGGTTAGTACTTTTGAAATTATACTAAGCTGTGTTTCACTTTTACACCTGAAAATATTTCATAAATGTTTCAGAATTACTGATTTTCATAAAGTAGCAAATTTAGTGGGCTTATTAGCACAATGGTGGTAAGAACAATTGAAATCCACTAAAATTTCTGTTAACAATTAACTTTGGTTCATTATTACCTTTGAATGCAGTAAAACTCTACAGCAGTGCTTCTTAAATTTCAGTGTGTGTGAATAACCATTTTTAAATAAATGCAGAATCTGAGGTGAAAAACAAGGCTTTACATGTTTAATAAGTTGTTGTTCCAGGGGCCAAACTTTGAGTAGTAAGGTCCCTACAGTGTCTTCTTAATTTAAAAAAAAAAAAAAAAATTATGAATAGGGTAATTTCATTGCTAAAAGCACTTAATTGTATAATAATTTTTCAGCAACTGGTAATCTGCATTTATGGCTGCTTATAGTTGCCAATAGAAGCCAGAGATAAAGAAATGAAGGCCCAGAGGGCTAAGATATTTGCTAAAGGAGAGAGAACCAGTTTACAGCAGAGTCAGAAAAAGACTAATTGATAAAGAAGATCCCCTTTTGGATCATGAACAGGTAATAGAACTAATTCAAGATTTCTTTTGAAATTAAAAAATATTACTCTTTCTGAAGAAAGTACTCTGGGGGATTTTCTTTGATAATACTGTCATATCTATAAAACTAAATCCTGAACCTGGTATTAATTTCCATATGTATTCTACTGCCATCTCCAGGAAACCAAGGGAAAGAAAAGTCTGAATATTTGATCTCAGTATTCCAAAATTAAAGTGAAACTTTAAGTACAAAGTTTTCAAATTATAAAAATTAAATTTACAATTTCCTTTATCCCTTATTGGTCACTCCTATTCTAAATGAAAGCTTCTTTTGGTTCTCTGTCTTCCAATTTCTTACATAAACCTTCCAAACGTTTACATACATTCCTAAATATTTCAAAGCTAGTATCCTGTCAGTAATCCCAATAGGTACATTCTGTTCTTTCCTAATATTCAAGCACCTTCAGGATCCTTTTTTTCTGGCCCAAGAATGCCAATATAAACTTTAATATAACTGGATCTAAATTTTTGAGTCACTTTAGAATATAACTCTTAAGAAATTTGGTTAACAGAGACAGACGATAACATAATATTAAATCATTCAAAGGTACGTGGTCTGGATGTCATAATTATATGTAGAACTCAGTAAGTTCCAGCTTCATCTTGTGTTCCAAATTAGCCCTCTTTATTTCATGCCATCATTTGAGACTGGCTGCTGCCTTAAGTTCTCCTCTGTCATGTAGCTCTTATTAAGCAGAATTTTGATGAGAAGGGATAAATGATATTGGAAAGTAAAATCTCAGCTACAATAACACAGAATTGAAGAACCAAAGGAAAAAATAAGAGATGAGGTTCTTGCAGAGCAGAGGTTGAAGAGACTTCCAAGTATTTTAAAGCTTTACCTAAACAAGTTGGTTTTTAAGAAGGAAATGTTAATGAAGATGCATTCTTACCTAACTAGAGTTTAAACACTACCTTCAAAATTTCTCAGCTAGTGCCTCAACTTCCCTTCTTTAACAACACCCTCCTCTCGCCTCAGTTTTTCTCATTTATTCAATACCTATTTATTGACTATCTACGAAATAAAACATTTGAAAGAAACAGAGATGAAGAGGAGATGATTCTAAAGGGAATAAATTCTACAAAGGAATTTAAACCACGTGTACTAAACTATTACATATAATGATAGGTATAATATGATAAGCATTCACTGAAAATTTTAAAATTTTACTCCAGGTTTGACATGTCAGAAATAGAAGGCTCCTATTTAGCTAATCTTTGGGGCTTGACTTTTTTGATATATTTTGATGAAGAGTGAATTCTCTCCTGTAAGGTTTTATCTTAATATTTACAAATTTCACTTTAGTCAAGTGAATGACAATGTCCTTAACAGGTTGTCTCTTTCAACAATTAAACCAGTGTCCAAAAATATCCCTAGGCTATTCTTACTTAAGACATCCTGGCCATCAATAATTTCTAAGTGCTGTAAGCTGGCAGATCAATACAGAGTGGTATGGGCTCACAGAGTAGAAAATGAAAGAAATGAGGTTAGTCCCCAAATAAATCAGATAGCAAATATGAATTAATGAAATAAAACCTTGAAAATACAGTCCATAGCACTGACACTATATGTATTCAAGATATGCATGCTATGGCCATTAAATACAGATGAGACAGGAAAAAATCAGCAAATAAAGTAAAATCTTTTAATACAGGGAATATTTGTATGTATCTAGGAGGAGACTAAAATCAGACCTATAGCATTTCATCATTCCTGACATTCTCTTATAAAAAACACTCCCCCATATATTTAATTCAAAACCAGTTGGTTTCTATAATTTCAAGTTTGAACCAGTGATGAAATACCAAATTACGAGAATTAGAAATTTAAAATTTTATTCACAGTCTTCCTTCTAAGAACAAAAGTATCATCAAGCAAAAGATCCACTAGGTCCATTGGATTTTGGTGGACAACGTATACATCCTTGATCCTGATGGGTTAGCCTTAGAGGTTTTTCATGATAGACCCTCACACTATTGCTATTAGCAGCTCAGAAAGGTTGGCACTTCTTCTTTTCTTCTTCTTCTTTTAAAAATTTTTTTCCAGTTATACCTTAATATGGTAAAGTAGTAGTCAGGGACTTGATCCATAAGGGTCAATGCTGGAACATCACTGTTCCTGAGTCACCTGTTCCCTAATTGAAAATACTGACATTCTAAAGTGGTCACTGAGGATTCTTATTGGGTGGTAGGTTAAATAGCAAGAAACAGAGACATCAGAAAAGGAAGGAACGGGGCTTCCCTGGTGGCGCAGTGGTTGAGAGTCCGCCTGCCGATGCAGGAGACACGGGTTCGTGCCCCGGTCCGGGAAGATCCCACATGCCGCGGAGCGGCTGGGCCCGTGAGCCATGGCCGCTGGGCCTGCGTGTCCAGAGCCTGTGCTCTGCAACAGGAGGGCCACAGCAGTGAGAGGCCCGCGTACCGGGAAAAAAAAATTAAAAAAAAGGAAGGAACGTACTTCCTTGGTGGTCCAGTGGTTAAGACTCCACACTTCCAATACAGGGGGCGTGGGTTCGATCCCTGGTCAGGGAACTAAGAACCCACATGCCACACGGTGTGGCCAATAAATAAATAAATTAATTTTTTTTAAATTAAAAAAAAGGAAGAAAGGGAGGGAGGAAGAAAGGAGGGAAGGAAGAAAGGAAAGAGGGAGGAAGGAAGGAAAAGTGAACTATGATATAATGGATACAACTGAAAAAATCTCTTAAGAAAAAATTAAAGAGACTTCACTATTTCTTACGTAATCAATTACACCATAAAAGCTCCTCTTTATTTACCTGAATTCAGTGGTTACACACACAAAAATCAAATTAATCTGAAAGAGACCTTAAAATATCAAATATAGCAATCTGCCGAAAGAACAAATTACTCAAATTGTAGCAAAAACTTTTTTAACTGAGGGAAATATTTATATCAAATCCCAAAAGAAACAATAGGGGAAAAAGAAAGGAAGACATTTGGTTTTCTAACAGTCCTGGGAAGACATTTCAAATGTGTATGAAAGCCCACTTCTCAAAATGTGAACTTCTAAAATGACTCAAAAAGATTCCCAAAGTAAGAAATAAAGAGGCTAATATGTCATAAAGGAAATCCAAATTCACAGAGAAAGCTGGAACATACGTGCCAGTCTAGGTCATATCTATAATGGTGCCAATATCTACAATGGTGCCGTTTTTCACAAAGTTTATATATTCCATGCAAGAATGTTATTGGCACTCATGACTATTACATTGAACTAAACACTTTATTAAAAGTGTTTTCAGTATTTTACTAAAAAAACTCAACCTGAAAAAACTACTCTAAGAGTGATCAACAATTTAAAATTAAACTTCATAAGAATGGCATGTTAAATATTTGCTTATCATCTACTTATGCTACCACACCCTAACTCCCCAGGTAACAACTTACTCTTCTGATTTTCTTCCGTTTTTTAGAGCGTGGTCTGGTCTCTATCCTCTGGACACTGCATCGCACAAGTAACAACAGGTCTTGTAGGCTAAAAAGCTTGTAAACAAAATTTCCTTCCTGAGGAGCTACATATTCTGATGTATCTTCAACATAGTCCTGAAGTTCATATGGCAATCCTTTAAAAATAATGATATTTGTCATTTTTATTTTAAAATACATTAGCTCTTTATCCATCATAATCCAAGATAAAACAATTCAACTATCAACCTTCTGTCTCCTCTGAGTTAACTATTACACTATTACCATTTCTGTTTACTTTTACTGGAACTCCAGCAAGAGCTGAAATCAAAGCTTTAGGGTTCTCTTCCTTTTACCTACTACCTTCACTAACCCTAGGCAAAGTATAAATCTGTGAGACAACATATGAAGGAAAAAAAAGTTTAAAAAAGTAGTGTTATTCATAATCGAGGCAGAGTTGAGGTACAGCCTTACATCTATTTCACAAATGAAAAAAGTACAAAACTACAGTCTAAACACCAAGAATAAGTAAATTTAGACTAATAAGTATTTATCATTATTTTTGCTGGATTTTCCCTTCATCAGTTCAGCAAACCACATTATCTATAGCTTAGCAGCCATCGTAAATGTTGGATAAACACAGGTTACAAAAATCCATACAACTGTGGGTACATCGCTAGAGTGAAGGTTTTGAAAGCTGAAATACTGATCAGTAGACTGGAAAATGAACTCTCAATGACTATATAAAGATCATACACATATTATAACAAAGAGAAAGTAGGGGAAAGAGGGTGGGAAAAAACCTAAGGATAAGGAACAAGCAAAACAGTTAATATAAAATTCTTTGTAAATATTTACGTACGTCCTTTTGGCTTCTGAAACACAGAAGGCCATATAGATTTTGGCCAACTAGAGGCATCTGAAGTAGCAGAGGGCTGCTCAGAACTAGGAGGTTGTTTAGAATTCTCTGAATTCATCAACGGCATTTCAGGTATTTTTCTGGAAATTGGTTTTAAGAGTTCATCCTGCATTTTTAAAATTTCTCCAACTGGATCAAATTTTTTATACACTCGTTTGATAGGTTTTTTTAAAACACATGACTCTTCAGGACTACAAGTAGTATTAGTCTGGTTTCCTACAGAAGCCTGTCCTGAGGAAGAATTTAGGCTAGCTGGTTTAGAACTTAAATTAGAACCCGTATCAGCAGTCTTTCCATTACTATTATTTTGACACTCTGTATCAATGATTAAACAGTCTTCATCTGTATCACTATGGCAAAGAATTACATCTTCAGTTTTAGCTGCTTCTGGTGTAACAGGCTTTTCCTTTGAATTATTGTCTGTGTTCTCTGGAACATTCACTCTTTCATCAACACACTCCATATCAGAAGTCATATCATTTTTATTAGAGGTTTCAATTTCTGAAGAACTTTCTAAGTGTAAGGCATCAGATGTTTTCAAGTCACTATCTTGTACCAAAGACTTCTCAGAATTTGATACATTTTCACCACAGGGGATCAATCCCTGATCATCTTTGTTTTTGCACTCTTCAGGGCCATTGTCCATACCAGTCACCAGCTGTTTCTCCTTCTGCAGCTGTTCCATCAGAATCTGAGATATACTTCTAGAATGAGCAGTAATGTCTGGTGCAATTGGTGCCTCAGATGTGATTGCTATGCTGGGGGCTGTGGGCATTTCTGTCACATTGGGTACTATGGAAGTACTTGCTGGACTCGGTGACTTTGATGGTTTGGTGGTGGTTACTCCAAAAGTTTCAAGTTCTGTGACGTCATCATCAAAATCCAGATCCAAGTTTTCATGGGTCTCAATTTTTCGGCACTCATTAACTTCATAAGACATCTTAAGAAAATATATTGGCAAACTATTAGCAAAAATTCCAGGCCGCCCCTCACCCATCAATGTCCCATCACAAACATAGTTCATACTCTTTAAAAGTAGAAAGAAAAGTGTAATGGCTTTGAAAGGTTCTTGCTTTGACAAACTACTAGCACCTAATTTATTTAACCTTACCTTCCCATTGAAATGTTGATGAAACACAGAAAAATTTGCCAAGTTGCAATACCACAGGAAATGGGGAATACTTGTGAACTACCACATCTCAAGAGGTATTTCCACTAATCAAAAACAGACAGGGGCTTCCCTGGTGGCGCAGTGGGTGAGAGTCCGCCTGTCGATGCAGGGGACACGGGTTTGTGCCCCAGTCCGGGAAGATTCCATATGCTGCGGAGTGGCTGGGCCCGTGAGCCCTGGCCGCTGAGCCTGCGCGTCCGGAGCCTGTGCTCCGCAACGGGAGAGGCCACAACAGTGAGAGGCCTGCGTACCGCAAAAAAAAAAACAGACAGGACCACAAAGAAGAAATGTTAGGCCAAATAGGAAGGCAAAAGATCTTCATTCATACCCAGTTTATACACTCTTGCAGAGACTTAGCTGACCAGGAGGAAAGCGTCTTCGCCATGGTAAGGAAGCTGCTCTCTAATGCAACTGGGGAAGTGTCAACAGCCTCTCACATCAATCAGTGACTTTCTTTATACATCTACTCAGGGAAAACAACTGTCAGTAATAAGAGGAGAAATGGATAGGAAGTGGTTTTATTGTTTTCTGGGACATGAAGCCACTGAGGTTATAGTTTTTCATGTATTGTTTGGGTAATAGAAGAACTACAGACAGTTCTAATTTATTCAGGAATAAATTATCTTCTCCCTAGGTAGCAACATCTCTCCTCAGTATGGCAGAGCACTTTAGATAAATACCATGGAATTGGATTACAGTTTAGGATTTGAGAGAAATATATTCTGACAGCCTCAGGTAGTGAGTAAGAAAGATCTACCTGGGTAAATTACTTTACCTCTCTGAAACTCAATTTCCTCATCTCTGAAATAGGGATAATAGGGTTATCCTCTTGGGTTTATTCTAAGGATTAAATGAGAAATTATATATAGAAAGTTTCTTCGCATAATCTTTGTACATAGTAAGCAGTTTCTCAGCAAATGGTAGCACTTGCTAAAATAAAAAGACTACCATATTTAGTCAAAAAATAAAATTAAACTATACTCTGTTTACATGAGGCATTCTTACACAAAAAGGTTCAAAACAAAACAATGGGACATGACACCAAGAAATAAAGAAGGACTAGCAATATTAAGTGTTAGAGAGAAGTCAATGCAAAAAGCATTAGATAGAAAAAGGAATCCTATGTTGAAAAAGATGCAATCCATGATGAATAGATAATGAACTGTGACATGTCAAATAACAACATCAAAATTGTCAAAACTGAAAAATAAAAGGAAAATTTGACAGAAACACAACTGTACTTGGTCATTGATACACTGTCTCTTAGTAAATATAAGGATGTAGAAACTATGAATAATATTTAATGACTGAAACAAAGATACATGAATGACTGAAAACATACATATAGACTGCAAAGATATACCTTTTCCCTCCCAAGGATCGAAGGGGCATTTCCAAAGATGGACTATAAATTAATACACAAAGAAAACATCAATATAGTATAAAGCAGAATCTGTTAAGGTCTGACTCTCTGTTTAGAAGAAAATAAAATTAGAAACCATTAAGAAAAAAGTAAACAAACAATAATAAACCCAAGAACTTGAAATTTAAAAACTTTCCAAATTATTGGATAAAAGAAGAAATTAAAATGATAATTACAGAATACTTAAAAAGCAATAAAAATGAGAACACTGGACATTAAAAATCTGAAGCATCATTCATAGCCTTTTCAAGAAACAGGAAAAGAATAATATAATCACAATAATAAAATGAAGGAATTTCATAAATATAAAACCAAAATTAATGAATTGAAAAACAATGTTCTCAACCCCTGACAAATTTGGATAAAAACAGCAGTTTATCTGTAAATATTTTAGTATGTGGTTATAAAAAGATTCTTCGGTAAAACATATTCATTGTATCAATAAATTAACACTTCCTTAATGGCTGGAAATATCTAATCACTGTTAAAATTTCCTAGTCTGATCAATTTCTTTTTACAATTGTTTATTGGAATCAGGATCCAACCAAGATCCCTACACTGCATTTGGGTGATGTCTTTCAAATTTATTTCTCAAATGCCTCTCCCCCATACTCTGCCAACTCCCATATCCACCAGGTATTTGTAGAAGAAACTAGATGAGTTATCCTATAAAATTTTCCATATTCTGGATTTTGCATCCCCATGATATCATTTAACACACTCTTCCCCTACATTTCCTATTAAAATGATCTAGTAGCTTGACCAGATTCAGGCACATTTAAAAAAATCTGAACATGTTATATGTGGTACTGTGTACTTCCCACTTCAATCAGGAGGCTAATGTCATCTGCTTATCTTTCTTCTTGTGATATTACAACAGTTCTGTTGATTCATCAAGGGTCGACAAACTAATCTACCCATTAAAATTCCTTGTTAATCTTCTAATGCTTTTAGCAGTCATTGATGATGATCACGGCCTAGATTCACTATTTCATTAGGAACTGCAAAATGGTAACAGTCGTATTTCATCATTACCTGAAATACAGTTTGTACTGGAAAAGTAAGACAAATACTTGAATTTTCAAAAATCAGTTTTCAGAATAATGACTTGATACACTAGCACCCTCCAAAGGTGACTAATACTTTTTTAAAAAGATATTATTATGAATTCATGGATTTTAACTATTTCATATGTTTCCATCCATTGCAGTTACTCTTTGTCATGGTCAAACTGACACACTCTGGCCAACGGGAAACCCTTCAAGTTAGCACTGGCATCTTTTTTATATAATTCCAATATTATTATAAGGTTTTTACTTAAGTCCTTTGATTGGCATTTGTATTTCTTATGCTAAAATTCTTGGTTTCTAATACAAATATAAGTACTTATTTGCTTTATCGTACTATCTAATGTGTTCAAAATAACAACAGCAATATCATTACTAATAATATGATTACTAAATGCAGTTTAAAATATTTGGCAATTCTTTTTGAACTTAGGATATAAATCTTTAAGGATGTATAGACACTTAATTCTCTGAGTGACCATTTTCACTTAAACAGTATATCTTGGCTATCACACTACAGTTGCATACCTAGAGCTTTCTTATTCTTTTTATAGGCATACCTTGGAGACATTGTGTGTTTGGTTCCAAACCACGACAATAAAGCAAATAGTACAAAAAAGTGAGTCACACAAATTTTTTTGGTTTCCCAGTACATATAAAGATATGTTTACACTATAGTCTATTAAGTGTGCAATAGCATTATGTCTTTAAAAATGTACACGTCTTAAGAAAAATACTTTACTGCTAAAAAGCACTAACCATCATCTGAGCCTTCAGCAAGTTGTAATAGTAACATCAAAAAATCAATGATTGGGCTTCCCTGGTGGCGCAGTGGTTGAGAGTCCGCCTGCCGATGCAGGGGACACGGGTTCGTGCCCCGGTCTGGGAGGATCCCGCATGCCGCAGAGCGGCTGGGCCCGTGAGCCACGGCTGCTGAGCCTGCGCGTCCGGAGCCTGTGCTCCGCAAAGGGAGAGGCCACAACAGTGAGAGGCCCGCATACCGCAAAAAAAAAAAAAAAAAAAATCAATGATCACAGATCACCATTAACAAATATGATTAAGTCTGAAATACTGCAAGAATTACCAAAATGTGACACAGTGACATGAAGTGAGCAAATGCTGTTGGAAAAAGGACGATGATGGACTTGCTTGATGCAGGGTTACCACAAGCCTTCCATTTGTAAAAAACGCAGCATCTTTGAAGTGCAATAAAGCAATGTACGATAAAACAAGGTATGCCTGTAATAGTTGCATAGTATGCTATTGAAGATGTACAGTTTATTTAATAAATACCCTATTAAGGGACATGACGACTGTTTCTAATGAATACCTATAGTTGCGGTGAACACCCTGCACAAATATATTATTCTTTTCCTAGTGTACTTCTGAGCTACACTTCTAGAAGTGAGATTTCTAGGGCAAAGGATGAACACATTAGTTTTCATCTGTTCTGTGGGTACATCTCTCTTCATTTGACTGTAAAAATGTTGTAGCAATTATCTTTTCTTCCTCTAATAACTTTGTAAGAATTTCCATCAACAATCCTCTTCTGTTTCTCATGTTTAATTGAGATGGGCACACCTGCTTCTGCAGGAGGACAAGCCTGTGTGACAGTGTGCCAGGATAGCTTTCTTAGCTTCATGGCTCTAAGCTCATGCTTCACTGTTACCATGATGTACGTATGTATGCATGTAGGTTTGCATGTGTTTGTGTGTGCATATAAAATCTTTAGTACATTCTGATATCTGCTTTCTCTATTTCCCGCTCCCACAATTATCTGAAAACTTATTTTTCCTTTACCTTTAATGTCCTTGTTCTGCTCAATATGAACTTTACCACTGGTGAATTTTCCTGAGCCAAGGCTTTTGTCTTCGAAGGAACTTTGGCTGGTTAGTTTCTAGAGTTCTTAGGACCCAGGTCATCTCAGAACTACTTAAGTTCCCAAGTGCCCCTGCACTCACCTACTAATTAGAGCCCATCCATATTATTTTCACTTTTGTTATTCTTTATTCATTCTTGCATCTTTCACCATCCTTTTGCCATCTGGGATTATTCTCCTTGTGCCTGAAGAACATCCATTAGAGGAGGTCTGCTAGTAGTAAACTCAGTTTTTATCTGAAAATATCTTTTCTTAATTTTTTATTACTTAAGGATATTTCACTGGTTAGAGAATTTTAGAAAGAGGGTTATTTTCTCTCAGGAGAATGTATTGTCCCAATGTCTTCTGGCTTCCATCGTTGTTGTTGAGAAGTTACCTGCCAGTCTAACTCTCAGTCCTTTATAGCTAATGTGCCTTTTGTTTCTCTGGTGGCTTTTAAGAGTTTTTTCTTTGTCTCCAAGATGGTTTGGTCCCATTACCTCTTTTACACCTCTCTTTTGGGTGCAAGTACACAAATGTTAGACATTCTCACTACATTCTCTATACCTCTTGCCCTACTCTCCGTATTTTCTTTTTGTTGCCTGTTTCATTATAGTCTTTTCAGACCCATCTTCCAGTTTATTAATTCTCTTATCAGTTTTATCTAATGTGCTAATAACCCCCTTTACAGCATTCTTAACTGTACTTTTTTTTAAAAAATAAATAAATATTTATTTATTTATTTGGCTGCATTGGGTCTTCGTTGTAGCACACGGGCTTCTCTCTAGTTGCGGCGTGTGGGCTTCTCTCTAGTTGTGGCATGCGGGTTTTCTCCCTCTAGCTGTAGCGTGCAGGATCCAGGGCGTGTGGGCTCTGTAGTTGTGATGCACGGGCTCCAAGTATGTGAGCTCTAGTTTGCAGCACGCGGGCTCTCTGGTTGAGGCGCACGGCCTTAGCTGTCCCACGGCATGTGGGATCTTAGTTCCCTTACCACGGATCTAACCCGCATCCCCTGCATTGCAAGGCATATTCCTTCCAATTAAAACATGGCTTTAATTTTCTTGCATGCTGTATAATTAAACAGAGTTGGCTCACAGTTTGTGACTGATAATTCTAGGATCCATTTCTGTGAGTCTATTTCTTTGGTCATTGTTTGTGATGGCTGGTGCTCAGAGTATCCAGTACATGAAAAGAAACTTAATTTTTATTTACTCCTCCAGTGTCTAGTTATCTTTAAATGTTTTCCAGATGCTATATTTAAAAACTTGTTTGTAGAAATAATTCGAGGCTCAAAATGACATTCTGTTCCTCTAAGAAGTATTGTCACTTGCTTTTGCTAGGTATCTAGAGACACTAGCAATCCAAAAGCATCTGAATCCAAGTTCAAGGCCTGAAAACCCAGAATACAATCTACAAGAAAGCTGATTTATTTCTTGTTCACTCTTACTCCTGGGGTATAGCCCTGCAGGGTCCAAGCTCATGGTGGAAAACTGAACTCTGACTTTTGTCCTCCTAGTCCTGTGATGCTGCCAAAAGCACATTTTCTGTTGCCTCTTCAGAACTGAAATACCATTCAGGGCAAAAACTACCCTAAGTGACAGGCTTACCAACCTGGATTCTGGTCTTCTTTAGTATCTCAGTCCTCAGATAGTACCCCCTATCTTGTTAGGTCTTTGATGATTCTAAGAAATAAACTTATATAATATGTCCAGCTTTTTTTAGTTGTCATCGGTAATGGAAGGCCCAAATTACTTGGTCTGCCATTACTGAAAGAAGTTACTCCGTCACTTTTCATCCCTCTTAACCTACTTCATGTTTCTTCATAGCACTTGTTACTTACTGACATTCACCTCACACCAATATAAATTTTAGATAGATTTAAAAATGTAAAACAAAACAAAAAACAAAAATACCTCCAAAAAACTTAAGTTGGAAGTGCTTTATGACATACACATCATAAAAATACTGAAAGGCAAATGGCAAACCAAAAAAAAAATAAACAAATATGAAAGACAAAAGGCCAATATTCTTAAAATAGTATGAGCTCTTATATGTAAATAAGAAAAAATTTTTCTATTTTATTTTTTAATTTTGTTTGCTCTCTCACTTTATTCAAGTCCCTGTTCAAATTTCCTGTCCTTGGAAAAGCCTTCCTGATCATGAATCCCATTCCCATCTCTTTCCCCTTAACCTATTCCATTTTTCTGCATAGTATTTATCAGTGTGTGCTTTTTTGATACTGTTTTAATTATCTGTGCCCTCTGACACTAATGTAAGTTCTGAAAGAAAAGAGACTTCATTTTTATTTACTGCTGTATCCTCAGTGCATGGAACAGTATCTGCTCAGTAAATATTTGTGGAATGGATGAATAAAGTTTTGTATAAACAGAATGCCTTGCTCTAATAATCATGGAAAAATATTTCAAAATACACAAAATAATAAAAGCTAGTATTTATGGAGTACCAAGCATTGTTCTAAATGCTTTAGGTGTATTAACTCATTTAATCCCCAAGAATTCTATGAGTTAGGTTATCATGATACCCATCTTACAGACAGAGCAAACTAGACACAAAGAGATTATGTAGTTTGCCTACGGTCACGCAGATAATAAGCATACACTAAAAAGGATTAACAATCCAGCAAATTCTTGTTGCCCCAGTCAAACTCATCTGTTCCTTTTCATACTTAAAAACTCTTGAATACAAATGAGACTAATTAAATAAAACCATCACCACTATGACCACCATTACTGACTGAATATTTAGTACATATGTACTAAAGACTGTGCTCAGCATCTTACGTATAAATATCAAACTTAATCCTGACAGCAATTTTATGAAGTAGGTATTATCATCTTTCTTTTATAAAAGAAGAAAACTGAGGCTGAAGGAGGTTAAATTAGTTGTCTAAAGTCTAGATCCACGTGGGGTTCAATTTTAAGTTTCAATCTAAAGTCTGTATTTTTAACTACCAGATTTAGAGACTTGCAATAAAATGTTATTCTTCAAAAGGATAAACAAGTACATTCTCTTAAGGAAAAGAAAAGAAAGCATTACATACTTCCATTTCAGATATATAATCTTCTGGTTTGTCCATAAATACTGCAGAGACTGGAACAGTTGTGTTTTTGGACATCATGCATTTTAAGGGAACTTCATGGAAGATTTGATTTCTCTCTCTCATTGTCATTTTCTTTTGGGGAAGTGGTGAATTAATATAAATTACTTTAACTGGTTTTGAACCTTAACACAGAAAAAGAATGGGAGTGATTTGTTACTAGTAGTCATATTAAAAAAAAAAAACAAACCAGGATGTATAACAGAAGAATTACTAAACAAAGAGACACAGGATAGAAACTGGAAGCACATGTCCCATACGTGTGCCTTGAATGAAAAGATTTTTAAAGTCCCTTAGAGATCTAAGGGCAAGAGACTCTTACTGGCAAGAAAAACATGTTCTTTTTCTAACAATTTAAAAAAAGATTTTCTGTTTTTTATTGTTATACTTTTACTGTCATTATTACTCGGTTCCTCTTGGGTTATACTTTCAAAAAGTGATAAAATGTTTACCACGGAGAATATATTACATTTAACTCTAATTTGTAGTTTTGTTTTTAGACATAGTCCTTCATTTACTCCAATTATGTTATTACATACAAGAATATTAATTCTAAAAGATATGAGAAAATTATTAAATATGAACAAAAATAGAAGGGGAATAATATTTGGTACAGAATTTATGTGTAAATATTAATTTTACTGTTAAGAGAGAGACTATCTTATAAGTATAGACTTATTTAAATCTGAATTCCAATAATAGGTAAGTAAATAAACCCTGGAAACTAACGCATTTGAGGCTGTCTAATAAAGTATCGCATTCCTTTTATTTCAGTGAAAGACAGAAGAACCTCACCATTTCATGTATCTTTGGCCACCCTAAACTATAATTTTTTCTCTACTTCTCACACACCCAGCATGCATACAGGTCCTGTAAATCTAATAACTCATTATGAGCGTCAATTGTATACTTAGCACTATATATTAAAAAGTTCTTCTACTGAATGTAATTGTCAAATTTACACCCTCCTTAAATCAAAACTTAGCTTTTTGTATTTGACAAATGACCACCTATAATCAGACTGCTGAAATAGAACTGTTTCAACTCCTCTTTTGAGAGTGTTACTTGACATGGCAAATCACAAACCTGTGACAGGTATTACTTGAATACACACTGGAATTTCCCACTGTTCCTTGTAGCTTGGTCCATGATTATTTAATAAGGTAAATAATGCTTGACTAGTTAGAGCTATCTGAGGGTGATATCTTGCAACAAGCTTCTCTGCATTTGGGTCTTTACTAATGTCCTGAAAAACAACATGAAACTTGTTACTTGATTACACTTATTAGAAACTTCTTTGATTAAATAATGAAAAGAAGGGAGAAATTCAGGAAGGGTACTTTAGAACAACCAGGTTACATGTACTTTATGAGGTACAGAAGATTGCTTACGAAGATCCAAAACCACTTTACTACTTACATAATGCATAGCTGCAGCTGTTTGTTCTGGTGTTTCAGTGGTGGGTATATCTTTTGACAGCTGCAACTTTGCAGGCATTGAGGGAAATACTGTTTTCACATACTTTACACTGCCCTAAATAAGAAAAAAAAATGAATGTTTTATTGCAGAAATCTTGATGTATTTTTTCCCTGAAGTATCTTTTCATCATATGAAACTTATAACTTAAAATTCTTCATTGTACTAAATGCAAATATCAAATTTACAGACGTCTTAAGACAAGACCTTAATGTTTTTACTTGACAACCACCATATAGTTGCTTTTTAAAGATTTTATTTATTTATTTATTTTTGGTTGCATTGGGTCTTAGCTAGGTCACGTGGGATCTTTCGTTGTGGTGCACAGGCTCTCTAGTTGTGGCACGCGGGCTAAAGAGCGCGTAGGCTCTATAGTTGGGGTGCATGGGCTCTGTAGTTGCAGCATGTGGGCTTAGATGTCCTGCGGCATGTGGGATCTTAGTTCCCCGACCAGGGATCAAATCTGAGTCCCCTGCATTGGAAAGCGGATTCTTAACCACTGTACCACCAGGGAAGTCCCCCATATAGGTTTTTTTTAAAAAAAGGGTCCAAGATAAGGGTGCCATGAAATCATCCTGTCATTTTAAAATCTAACCTCTCATTTTATGAAGTACAAGTCAGAGCAGGGTATAAGAGAAACTCTAAAATATCTTCTTTACACACACCTACTTCCAACATGATATTGAGTAAAATCCCCTTAAAAGAAAAGCTTTCTGCTTGTATTCAGAAACATAAAAGAGATGGAAACTAAGAAAAGAAAATCAAGAAATAAAGTTGGTAGTGATATTTTTTTTTAACTTTTTATTTTTTCTTTAAATATTTATTTATTTATTTGGCTGCACCGGGTCTTAGCTGGTGGCACGTGGGATCTTCGTTGCGGCACGTGGGGTTTGGTTCCCTGACCAGGGATTGAACCCAGGCCCCCTGCACTGGGAGTGCAGAGTCTTAACCACCGGACCACCAGGGAAGTCCCAGTAGTGATATTTTTAAAATCATCAAGTAATGGTAGTCATACATTAAAAGGGGACACATTTGTATTGCGTATTTTAAAAAGTATATCTTGTTACTGCTCAAAATTTAAACATAAATACTGAAATATGTCTAAATTATGCTTCTGTGTGAAATACAGATGATGTTTCAGACAAAAATAAGTTTACTTTTATTTTCTTATGGTAAACCTTACCAATGCAAGAAGAGTTTTTTCTAACTTTAATCCCATCTCTATTCTGAATGGGAAGAATCCCATTAAGCTGGTGACTTCATGGAGAGTATAGAATTCTGGATACTTTTTCACTTGTTCAATACAAGCTTTTAAAATTTGCTAAAAAATAAAAATTAAGAGAAATTCATTTTTTTGTACTTCTCTAATAATGCAACAAAAATAACTTAGTCACATGTGACTAAATAATTATTCATTTCAAATATGAGCCTCATTTCATTAACCGAACTTCTAACAATCCAGGCACACTGTATATTCCTTACTTGATTTAAACGCTTATTTTTTGTAACAATTCTTTTTAACCTAATTTCTTAAAACATTGATGTTTAATAATACTAAAATTAGCAATTGTATTAAAATTTAAAGTTAGAGAAGACACATCATATTTTCTCTGCTATTTAAGAAACTGTCAAAGAAATAAAGCCACGTGAAAATTTTAACACACTTTATGGGAATAAAAGCAGTTACATGAATGATTAGAAATAAGTAAGTTTAATACCCTAAAAAGATCCCCAAGCACAATGAATTAATGAAGTAGTTATCTTACAGGTCATTCTAACCTTCAATCTAAAAAATAAATGAGAAATTTTATAACTACTTCAAATGATGGAGTATTTAGTATTTTCTTCTCTCCAAAATATTCTCAAAATATTAATGACTTACCAGGAAATGTAATGAGGAAGAAAAATTCACAGTTTCACCCAAGCATGTGATAACATGTAAATAACTCAAAGAAGCACAGCAGTTTTGGAGGGGGTAGGGGAGTTATAAAACCATACATACTACATTATCTTCTAAGATACAGTTGTCCCTCGTGTCTCTGGAATCCCCCATGGATACCAAAATCCAAGGATGCTCAAATCCCTTATTTGAAATGGTATAGTACCATCAGCCCTCCATATCCACTGATGTAGAACCCACGGATACGGAGGGCCAAATGTATGTGTTTTCTCTTCTTCTCTCAATGAACCTTAATCTGAACCTTTTAGAATATAGTTTATATCACAAAAGCTTTTAGCAATAAGCATATATATATATATATATACATACACATATATATATATGTGTGTGTATATATATATATATATTTTTTTTTTTTTGGTACGTGGGTCTCTTGCTGTTGTGGCCTCTCCCGTTGCGGAGCACAGGCTCTGGACGTGCAGGCTCAGCGGCCATGGCTCACGGGCCCAGCCGCTCCGCGGCATGTGGGATCTTCCTGGACCGGGGCACGAACCCATGACCCCTGCATTGGCAGGCGGACTCTCAACCACTGTGCTACCAGGGAAGCCCCAATAAGCATATTTTTATATCTTACACCCTCTTTCCCTTCAGATATTTATAAAGTGTGTCAAGCTACAAATCAATAACATTACTCCAGTACATCTTTTTATCTATAGTTTCATATCCTCTTCTTTCTTTAATCCTCACTCTCTATTATCTTTCACATTTCCCCCCTCAATTCTACGCTTTTCAATAATGACCTCGATATTTAATCAGGATATTACTTGCAATTAAGACAGATATAGGTTAATATGAAGAAGTTCTGTTTGCTCTTAAAAACCCTAGTAAACCGCAAACTCGGATCTGCATAATATCTTTGCTCCTCATTTATAATATTAGTCAACTTTCACCCCTAATATTCCTATCCTATAGAAGTCATTACAAAAATCTAAACATGCAAAGGAAAGCAATATATAAGAACTATGTGACATATAGACTACTCTGATTAGATATTTATCAGCACATCTTTCTTGGTAAAACTATGCTAGATGTTACAGTGCTTTTTAAGTGAGTTTCACTTAACTCAGTAATTATGGCAAGAGAAAAATTCAAGGGAAAATCTAAGACAGTTTTATACCTATACTCAGATACACTACACAGTATTAAAGGTATTTCACAACTGGTAGATATTAAGTAACTAAAGGAGCATTATTTAATATATTTAATTAAAAACTTTAATTAGTAATTTACTTATGTTTGAAAAACTGCTAAGAGTGAACAAAGGAGGTTAAGAGATTCAGGCTGTTCCCCACCACCCACTCCCGAATGTTATTTAACATGCAAAGTATCTTGAAAGTTAAAAACACCAAAAACACATTTATCACTTACAAAGAAAGATGAAAATAACTATGCTCCAGAAAGAGAAAATATAATATGTTTTCATACATGTTTGAAGCTTAAAATTTAACAGATACTGCTTCTGGCAATATGATAAAGTAGGTACCTTGAAGAACACTCCTATCCAAACCACACTAGATGCTGGATAAATTACAACTAACAATTTTCATGCATTGCTGGGCTTGGTAAAAGCGAGGAGAATCTCCAAGGACCATAAATAAATAAATAAACGCCAAACATCTAGAATGAGGAGAAACAGGAGCTGTGAGCAGTAAGAAAACCCATGAAAGGTGAAGTGGCTTGAGGGCAAATGCCTCAACCAGTTCTAAGATCAGGTAGGGAGCTGAACAGGAGAGCCCTACATTTAAGGCTTGAAAAGCAGAGATTTGAACAGATATCTGTACAACCATGTTCACAGTAGCATTATTCACAACAGCCAAAAGGTGGAAGCAAATCAAATGTCCATCAATGGAAGAATGGATAAACAAAATGTCCATATACATACAATGGAATATTCAGCCTTAAAAAGGAAGGAAATTATGCCACATGCTAGAACATGTATGAATCTTGAAGACATTATGCTAAGTAAAATAAGCGAGTCACAAAAAGACAAATACTATATGATTCCACTTATATGGGGGTACCTACAACAGACAAATTCAGACACAGAAAGTAGCATGGTGAGTGGCACAATAATAAATAAATATTTCCTGTTTGTCCCTGGTTCCTGACACACAGCTCCTAAATTTCTTGGAATCCCCTAAGTGATAAGAATGTCTTTTTTATGCTAATTAGATGACAAAAGGCCCATAGATAGCTAATCACCAGCAGCCAATGATTTAATCAAGCATGCCCACTAAATGAAATCTCCATAAAACTCCCCTTAAGGGCTTCCCTGGTGGCGCAGTGGTTGAGAGCCCGCCTGCCGATGCAGGGGACACAGGTTCGTGCCCCGGTCCGGGAAGATCTCACATGCCACGGAGCGGCTGGGCCCGTGAGCCATGGCCGCTGAGCCTGTGTTCCGCAACGGGAGAGGCCGCAGCAATGAGAGGTCCGCGTACCGCAAAAAAAAAAAAAAAAAAAAAGGTTAAGGGGCTTCCCTTGTGGTGCAGTGGTTAAGAATCCACCTGCCAATGCAGGGGACACAGGTTTGATCCCTGGTCCAGTAAGATTCCTCACACCACGGAACAACTAAGCCTGTGCACCACAACTACTGAGCCTGTGCTCTAAAGCCTGTGAGCCACAACTACTGAAGCCCACGTGCCTAGAACCCGTGGTCTGCAAAAAGAGAAGCCATCACAATGAGAAGCCCGCACACCACAACAAAGAGTAGCCCCCGCTAGCCGCAACTAGAGGAAGCCCATGCGCAGCAATAAAGACCCAATGCAGCCATAAATAAATAATAAATAAGTAAATAAAATCTATTAAGAAAATAATAAAAATGGTTAAGACAGTAAATTTTATGTTATGTGTATATTACCATAATTAAAAATTGTTTTTTAAAAAAAGGAAGGATATTGACACATGCTATAACATGGGTGAATCTTGAAGACATTATGCTAAGTAAAATAAGCCAATCACAAAAGGACAAATATTGAAATGACTCCACTTATATAAAGTACCTAGTGAAGTTAAATTCATAGAAATAAAAAATAAAATGGTGGTTGTCAGGGACTGGGGGGAAGAGGGAATGATGAGTTATTATTTAATGAATACAGAGTTTCAGTTTGGGACAATGGAAAAATTTGGGAATGGATGATGAAAATCCACTTACAACAGTGCGCAAGTATTTAATGCCATTGAACTATCCTTAAAAATGGTTAAAATGGTAAATTTTATGTTATATATATATTTTACCACACCAAAAAAAGAGAGGGGCCTCCCTGGTGGCGCAGTGGTTGAGAGTCCGCCTGCCGATGCAGGGGACATGAGTTCATGCCCTGGTCCGGGAAGATCCCACATGCTGCGGAGTGACTAGGCCCGTGAGCCATGGCCGCTGAGCCTGCGCCTCCGGAGCCTGTGCTCCGCAACGGGAGAGGCCGCAACAGTGAGAGGCCCGCGTACCGCAAAAAAAAAAAAAGAGAGAGAAATGGAAGACAGACTGAAACCTAGGACGTTTGGGAATTCCAGAGAGAGAGTTGTGAAAACAAAAAAGAAGCAATAATTGAAAATGGCTGAGAATTTTCAAGAACTGATGATGGATTTGAATCTACAGATACAAGACACACAATGAAACAAGTAGAATTTTATTCTAATAAAGTACATTGTAATGAAACTGTAATACACCAAAAATTAAGAGCAGTCAGAAAGAAAAGGCAGATTCCCTAAAAGAAATGACAATTAAACAAACAATACACTTTTCAGTAATAATACGTGAGCCAGAAAAAGTAGAATTATATTATCAAACGCTGAGAAATAAAACAAACTGTCGACTTAGAACTATGTATGGAGCAAAACTATCTTATTAGAATGAGAACAAAATAAAAATATTTCCAGGTAACAAAGAAGAAGATTGTTCATTACCAAGAGACCTTCACCAAAGGAACATCTAGAACATATAACATTTCAGGAAAAATGAAGAGGATTTCAGAATGTAGATTTTAAAAGAGGAGATGGAAAGGCAAAAAAGATCCAAATTTGTAGATAAAAGAAGACAAACATTGTTCATATAAAATATGTACCTAGGTTTTTTTACCTTTAAAAACCTAGGTTTTTAAACCTACGTAGGTTTAAAAAAGAGACAGCATCAAAACAATAATATCAGTGAGGAGGGATGTGATGAAAGTCAAAATGCTCTATGGTCTCTGTAGATGTATAGGTTAATAGAACTAAATAGAGTTGAGAAATTTACCCATAGGTCAGTGGTGACAAGGTAATTCAATAAGGAAAAAATTCATTGTGAAAATTCAAGAGTAACCACTAAGAACAACAACAACATCAAAAATGTATAAATTCCAATCAGTAGAGAGGGAAAAAAGAAGGGG